TTTTTTGGAGACAGAGTCTTGCTCTGTCGCCAGGCTGGAGTGCAGTGGTGCAGTCTAGGCTCACTGCAACCTCTGCCTCCTGGGTTCAAGCGATTCTTCCGCTTCAGCCTCCTGAGTAGCTGGGACCACAGGTGCCTGCCACCACACCCGGCTAATTTTTTTTTATTTTTAGCAGAGACTGGGTTTTACCATGTTGGCCAGGATGGTCTCCATCTCCTGACCTCGTGATCCACCTGCCTCGGCCTCCCAAAGTGCTGGGATTACAGGCGTGAGCCACCGCGCCTGGCCTAGGTTTTCTTTTTGGTAGATAGTCCCATCATTTGAAAGCTAGTTTTTGGGAGGGGTGGTTTGGACATGGTACATATGTTTCAGTTAAGCCTGTTTTATAATTTTCACTTAAAACTTGCATAGGTATTTCTTTCAACTATAGGATCTTTGTCTTAGTAATATAAGAAGCTGTCTTTTTGGCCAGGCGCCGTGGCTCACGCTTGTAGTCCCAGCACTTTGGAAAGCCAAGGCGGGCAGATCACTTGAGGTCAGGAGTTCGAGACCAGCCTGCTGAACGTGGTGAAACCCCGGCTCTACTAAAAATACAAAAAATTAGCTGGGCGTGGTGGCACATGCCTGTAATCCCAGCTATTTGGGAGGCTGAGGCAGGAGAATTGCTTGAACCCAGGAGGTGGAGGTTGCAGTGAGCCGAGATTGTGCCACTGTACTCCAGCCTTGGTGACAGAATAAGACCTTCATCTCAAGAGACAAAAAACAAAAAGAATTTGTCTTTTTTGTTGTTTTGAACTGCATCTCTAATAGGGAAAAGAAACTTGCATGCAAAATGTTGACACCTTCTGATTTGGGAACCTTTAGTATGTGGCTTCTCTACTCCTTTATGATTATGTATGATTACTGCAGGTAGCCCTGGTATATGGGCAAATGAATGAACCACCTGGTGCTCGTGCCCGGGTAGCTCTGACCGGACTGACTGTGGCCGAGTACTTCAGAGACCAGGAAGGTCAGGATGTATTGCTATTTATTGATAACATCTTCCGCTTCACCCAGGCTGGTTCAGAGGTAAGAGGGAAGGCTTGAGAGGACCTGGTTCGTTTGGCCTTTCTTTGGAGCTATGCAGATGAGGCTAAAGATGTAGACACCTAAGACCCTTTTTTTTCTTTTAGGTGTCTGCCTTATTGGGCAGAATCCCTTCTGCTGTGGGCTATCAGCCTACCCTGGCCACTGACATGGGTACTATGCAGGAAAGAATTACCACCACCAAGAAGGGATCTATCACCTCTGTACAGGTACGAAAAATGACATAGATGAATATCTGATTTGTATAAAGGCAGGGTGCAGTGATGCATCTCAGCTACTGAGGAGGCTGAGGCGGGAGGATTGCTTGAGCCCAAGAGATCAGTGTGGGCAACAAAGCAAAACTCATCTAAAAAAAAAATATGTAGAGAGAGATATACAACTTACTTACATCTCAAAAAGGTATGTTAACTGAGGTTCATGAGCTCTCTGGAATAATATGTAAAAGTCTGTGTGTGTGGCCGGGCACAGTGTCTCATGCCTGTAATCCCAGCACTTTGGGAGGCTGAGGTGGGCAGATCACCTGAGGTCAGGAGTTTGAGACCAGCCTGGCCAACATGGTGAAACCCCGTCTCTACCAAAATACAAAAATTAGCTCGGCATGGTGACAGGTGCCTGTAATCCTAGCTACTTGGGAGGCTGAGGCAGGAGACTCTATTGAACCTGGGAGGCAGAGGTTGCAGTGAGCCGAGATTGCAGCACTGCACTCCAGCATGGGTGATGAGCAAAACTCCGTCTCAAAAAAAAAAAGAAAAAAAAAGTTGTATGTGTATGTTAAAGACCTTAAAAGGTTAAGAAATACTCGTTGGGCCGGGCGCGGTGGCTCACGCCTGTAATTGCAGCACTTTGGGAGGCCGAGGCGGGTGGATCACGAGGTCAAGAGATCGAGACCATCCTGGTCAACACGGTGAAACCCCGTCTGTACTAAAACTACAAAAAATCAGCTGGGCATGGTGGTGCATGCCTGTAATCCCAGCTACTCAGGAGGCTGAGGCAGGAGAATTGTCTGAACCCAGGAGGCGGAGATTGCGGTAAGCCGAGATCGCGCCATTGCACTCCAGCCTGGGTAACAT